GAATGATCTGCTTCCAAGCTCACTTATATGGTCATTTGCAGGATTCAGTTTCTCAAGGGCTCTTGGACTGAGGGTCTCAGTTCCTAGCTTCCTGATGGCTGGAGGTTTCCCTCTGTATCTTGCCATGCTGGGTTCCCCGATAATGCAGTTGTTTTAACAAAGCTAACATGGTAGAAACACTGATCCCACTGCCATCGAGTTGATTCCAACTTGTAGTGACCGTTTTTTGGACAGAGTAGAATTGCCACATAGGGTTTCCAAGGCTGTAAATACTTGCAGAAGCAGGCTGCCTCATCTTTCTCCCACTGAGTGCCTGGTGGGTTTGAACCACTGATCTTTTGGTTAGCAGATAAATGCTTTAACTACTGCAGTACCAGAGCTCTTTAGAGAACCCGATAATAAAATGGCAATCACAATCTTATGTACCTTAATCATGAAAGTGACATTTCACCATCTTTGTTATATTTTATTTGTTAGAAGCAAGTCATTAGACTAGTTCAACTCAAGGGGGAGGGGGATTACACAATGACATGAATACCAGAAGACAAGGATCATTGGGGGCCATCTTAGAGTTGGCTTGCCACAGATATCAAACCACTTCACTATAGTATAAGAACTTTATGTCAGTTTCTTCCTCCCAGCCTTCACACTACTGTTGTTATATGTTTTAGTTCTACAGATATCATAAACCCCACAATACATTGCTAGTATTTTTGCATAGCCTATTATCTTTTAAATGTTGTTGTTATGTACCGTTGAGTCAGACCTGACACATAGCGACCCCTCCTTGGGTTTCCAAGGTGGTATCACTATAGAAGTAGATTGCCCAACCTTCCTTCCGAGGAGGGGTTGGTGGGTTTGAACCACCAGCTTTCTGGTTAGCAGTCAAACACCTTAGGCACTATGCTAACATAATTATGGTGGTAGACTGAATAATGGCACCCAAAGATAAAAAAATAAACCATATCCCTTGTCATCAAGTAGATTCTGACTCATATAGGACAGAGTAGAACTGTCCCATAGGGTTTCCAAGGCTGTAAATCTTTACAGAAGCAGACAACCACATTTTGCTCTATGGAGTGACTGGTGAGTTTGAACCATTGACTTTTCAGTTAGCAGCTGAGTGCTTAACCACTGCACCACTCCTTCCCCCAAAGATAAGCAGGTTTTAATCTTTGGGCCCCGAGAACATTACCTTATATAATAACAGGGAACCAGCACGGGTAATTAAGTATCTTGAGATATAGAGACTGTCCTGGATTATCTGGGTGAGTTCTTAGTGTAATCACAAGTGTCCTTATAAGAAGGAAGCAGGAGATTTGAAGACAGAAAAGGAAAAAGGTGATATGACAATGGAAGTAAAGGAAGAAAAGACAAAATGATGTGGGCAATAAGTCAAGGAATGAGAACAGCCTCCAGAAGCTGGAAAAGGCAAGGAAATAGATTCTCCCCCAGAGTCTCTAAAGGGAGCACAGCCCTACCAACACCTTGATTTTGGCCCAGTGAAACACGTTTCAGAATTCTGGCCTCCAGAACTATAAGAAAATAAATATGTGTCATCTTATGACACCAAATTGTGGTAATTTGCTATAATTATATAGCCAAATAAAAAAAACACCTTACTGCCATTGAGTCGTTTATGACTCATGTTGTTGTTGTTGTTGTTATGTGCCGTTGAGTCAGACCTGACTCATAGTGACCCCTCCATGGGTTTCCAAGGTGGTATCACTACAGAAGTAGATTGCTCCACCTTCCTTCCGAGGAGTGGCTGGTGGGTTTGAACCAACCAGCCTTTTGGTTAGCAGTCAAGTGCCTTAGGCACTACACTACCAGAGCTCATAGTGACTCTCATTGGGTTTCCCAGGCTGTAAATCTTTATGGAAGTAGATTGCCCCGTCTTCCTTCCATGGAGCAGCTTGTGAGTTTGAACTGCTGACCTGGTTAGCAGTCAAGTGCCTTATCCACTATGCCACCAGAGCTCCTATAAATCTTTATGGAAGTAGATTGCCCAGTCTTCCTTCTGTGGAGTGGCTGGTGGGTTTGTACTGCCAGCCTTCTGGTTAGCAGTCAAATGCCTTAGGCTCCACGCCACCAGACCGCCCCCAAATATAGCAATATATAATAACTCTAATAAGAAACTAATGCAGTTAGTATTCCCAGTGTTCTTTATCCATTTGTGTAGAGGCATATTTCTTTCAGATACCATTTTTCTTCTGCCTAAAGAACTCCTTTTCCTCTCTTTTATGGTGGGTCTGATGCTGATAGAGTCTTTCAGGTTTTTCATGTCTGAAGCAGATTTTATTTTGTCTTTATTTTTAAAAGATGTTTTCATTGATATAGTAGTCTATAGTTACATTTTTTTTCTTTAATTCTTTAAAGATAGTCTCCCACTCCAAAAACTCAATAATGACCGGAATTACTGGTCGGATGAAGTCTGGTGAGACCCCCAAACTATGGTCATGAGATACATTCTGGGCCTGGGATAAAACTCACTCCCAGAGGCTGGCTCGCAGCCCAATAGTTAACAAAATGTACATGCAGACCACTCAACCCAGGGTGATGCACCCACATACTCTATGGAAATACATCCCTTAGAGCAATAGACCATGGGGCACCAGAGGGACAACATTTACAGAACAAACAGGAGTGCATAACTGTGAGGGGCACAGGGGGAGGGTTAGTGGGCAGGGAGGGGAGGAGACTGGGCTAGGGTTGGACATGGTAAATGGGGAGTGAAACTAAATGTACACATACCTTGAATGTAAAGCAAACTCTTAAAATTAAAAAAAAATTTAAAAATAGTCCCTCACTATCTTTTGCCTTGTATTGTTTCCAACAAGAAATCTGCTGTCATCTTTTTATTTGTTCTCCCGAACATGTGTCATTTTTTTTTCTCTAGATGCTTTTAAAATTTTCTCTTTATTATGAGTGTTGTGCAGTTTCATTATATGTGCCTCAGTGTAGTTTTCTTCATATTTCTTGTGCTTGGAGTTTTTTATACCTCTTGGATCTGTGAGGTTATAGTTTTTATCAAATCTAGAGAATGTCTTTAAATATTTTTTTCTTTTCCTCACTCACTTTCTTATTTGTCTTTTGGAAACTATAATTACCCATATATTGTACTGCCTAAAGCGGTCTCACTGATGATCTATTCATGTCTAACATATTTTTTCTCTCTGCGTTTCATTTTGCACAGTTGCCATTACTATGTCTAAAATGCACAAATCTTTTCTTCTGCAACCCCTAATCTTCCATCAGTGCTTTTTTTTTTTTTTTAATCTCAGATATTGTGTTTTTCATATCCAGAAATTTGGCTAGGATATTTCTTATATTTTTTATGTCTCTACTTTGTGAGCATGTGGAATATAGTAAGAACTATTTTAATGGTCTTAGCTAATTTTAATATCTGTATCAGTTATGTCAATTTTGATTGGTTGATTTTTCTCCTCATTATGAATTATCTTTCTTCCTTCTTAATAAGTCTAGCAATTTTTTATCAGATGCTGACATTGAGAATTTAACTTCTTGAATATTTGGTACTTCTATACTCCTATACGGTAGCTCTGGTAGCGTAATGCCTAAGGCACTTGACTGCTAACCAGAAGGCTGGCAGTTCAAACCCACCAGCCACTGCTTGGAAGGAAGGTTGGGCAATCTACTTCCATAGTGATACTGCCTTGGAAACCCAAGGAGGTGTCGCTATGAGTCAGGTCTGGCTCGATGGCACATAACAACAATAATACTCCTATACATATTCTTGAGTTTTGTTCTGAGACACAGTTATTTAGAATAGTTTGAATCAGTCAGGACTTGCTTTTAATATTTGTTAAGCAGGACTAAAGTGATGCTTATTCTCAACTACTGAACCAAGACCTTCCTCAGAACTCTACCCAATGTCCCATGAATTATGCTATTCCTGGCCTTGTGTAAGCCCTAGGTGTTTTACCCTCTATTTCCCCACTCCTGCTTCAAGTAGTTTCCTCACATATATCCATTGTTGAGAATACTGATGGTAGTGGAGGATGTCTGGAGTTCATTCTATGTACAGCTCTCTTCTCTCCCACATTCCATGTTGCAAACTCTAGCTGCACTGGTCTGTCTAGCTCTGTTGTTTTCAACTGAGAGAGCAACTAGACTGTGTCTGCACTTTCCCTACCTGTGCTGGAAACTCTCTCAGGGTAAACAGTTGGGACAATTGTAGGGCTGACTTTGTGTCCTGTCTTTTCAGGGACCACAATCCTTCACTGTCTGATATCCAGTGTCTTTTCATCGTTCTTTCTTTCTTCTTTTTTCCTCCACAATCCCCACCCACCACACCACCGCACACATACAGCTGGTTCATATGCAGCCAATGTTTCTTATTTGCAGCATAGGCATCAGAATCGCCTGGGTTTTGGCATTTGTAGTTTCATAAAACTTTTCAGGTGATTGAGATAAGCGCCCATGGTTTACCCAACTTCTTTTCCCTTTTTTTCTAAAAACCTTCTTTTAGTTCATATAGATGATGCAGGAATATGAAGCATAAACCTATTACTATATTCACTTCATAATAATAACTAGTAGTTTTGAGCCTTTACTATGTGCTAGATATGCTAGTGTGATTTTTATGTATATTACCTTATTTAATTTTGCAACTCTCCCCTTTGGTAAATTCTCTTATTACTTCTCATGTTACAGATGAGGGAACTGAGTCTTAGAGATGTTGAGCAACTAGCCAAAGGTCACACAACTAATAACAATAAGATTAGTCTTTTGTAATGGAGCGAACTTCACAGGGCACCAGACTCTTCTTATAATAGAGAATGAGCTTCCCCATCTAGGGTAAGTGAATGATGAAAGTATCCGTGAAGCAGCTTTCTGCTCTTAGAAGAGGTAGGTTATTGCTCTCTTTATGGGAGACCTAGTCCTAGGATTCAAGGGCTCCCTCATTCTAGGAGGAGAACTATTTTCCAAATTGGAAATACGGATACCTAAAATATAAGGTTTTATTTTTCATCCAGTCGACTTATGGCTTTGCAGGAAGATAAAAAAAACAAGAAATGGAAGAAACAAGACATTTGTCTCGGCAGCACTGACACCTGTGCGTTCCCAGGGCTGATTAGCACTTACAGCAAGTTCATCATCTCCTTTGCCGAAGATGAAGCAGGTAACCGATGTGCAGGGTTACTGGATTTCTGCTTACTGTAACTAAGATAATCATGAATATTGACTAAATGTTTAACTAGTAACTACCACGAGCTCTGGTAGCATAGTGGCTAAGGCACTTGACTGCTAACCAGAAGGCTGGAGGTTCAAACCCACCAGCCACTCCTCGGAAGGAAGGTTGGGCAATCCTACTTCCGTAGTGATACTGCCTCGGAAACCCAAGGAGGGGTCGCTATGAGTCAGGGCCGACTTGATGGCAAACAACGACGACGACCACTTCTATTACTATCACAACCATTTAGCCATTTTTTGTAATATACAGGATACTGTTCTAAGCACTTTATCTTCTTATTTAATAATGAAAACATCCTCATGATGTAATTATTATGCTCATTTCACCAGTGAGGAAATAGACTGAATATAACACCCACCCCTTTCTTTGTTGAAATGCACACTGCATTTTGAGGGGCAAATCAAGGTCTACACTTCAGTGTTTTCAGTCCTTTGACTGTGAAGGAAGTTCATGTGTCCCCTTCTCCCTGTTTTTATTCTAATTTGCAGTTATAGGAAAAATACAGGATGCATACTGGGCCAGACTAGTTGCCCAACCTACTGATGTCACTTGGGAGAGGGTACCACTGGTGATCTGCTCACTGGTTGGGCTGAGGTCTTTCTGACTCTGCCAAGGGTTTGTGAGCAACAGCTGTTAGTGAACAAGAGTGAATTTCTTTATTGAGTGATCTGATAAAAGGGTAGAGAGCTAGGTAAGAGGCTACCCAGTATATAGATTAGGCACATGTTTAGGGCACCAGCAAAGCAAGGTATGTGTGCACACATGAAAGACAGACAGGCAGAGAGAGATGAAAAGATAGATCAGTAGAGAGAGAGAGAGATTTCGCTTTTATAAATTTTGTAATCAGAAAAGTAGCTGATATTTGCAAAGACTTTAAACATTGTTGCTGTTGTTAGTTGCTGTCAAATTGATTTCAACTCATGATGACTCCATGTGTAAAGCATAGAACTACTCAAGGCTGTGACTGTTCAGAAGCAGGTCACTAGACCTTTCTTCTGAGGGTTCTTCCAAGAGTAGATTTGAACCACCAACCTTTTGAAAAATAAGCTTTATTTTTTTTTACATAAGTGAAGAGAGAGCCTGTGATCTTTTCAGTATTTGGCACTGGAAACATTAATGTGCTTGCTACTAACCGAAAAGTTGTAGGTTTGAGTACACCTAAAAGTGTCTCAGGAGAGAGGCCTGGCCATCTACTTCTGAAAACTCAGCCACTGAAAACCCTATGGCACACAGCTCTACTCTGACACACAAAGGCCTCCATGAGTGGGCACTGTTATAAAAAAATAGTTATGCTTAGAATAAATTGATCTCTCAGAGTTCCTTCCAGACCTAGGATTCTCTATAGTTGTAAACTAGAGACTTGAAGATGTCCTAAATGTTTGGTTTCTTCCACTCTGAGCCGCAGGGTAGGTAGACAAGACCTTCACTTAAGTAGGATATAGAGATTCAGTCAGTTCCTGGACTCATTCCTCTCACCTACCTTATGAATAGATAGTTGAGATGAGCATTTTAGAGATCTGAGGCTATATGGTGCTCTGGTGGTACAGTGGTTAAGACATTGGGCTGCTAACCAAAAGGTTGGTGGTTTGAACCACTCTGTGGAAGAAAGATGTGGCAGTCTGCTTCTGTAAAGATTTACAGTCTTGGAAACTCTGTGGGGCAGTTCTACTCTGTCCTATGGGGTAGCTGTGAGTCAGAATCAACTTGATGGCAGTTTCTTTTCCTTGAGGGTATTTTGGAAAATTCAAGCATTTTTAATAGAAAAAAAAGTCCATGTGAGTTCCAAACTGGAAGTCCAAACATAAAAAAGGAGAGAAGCCACAGCTTGGCAGGATGATGCTCAGTGGAAAGTGGATGACATGAAAGCCATAGGCTATGCTGGCATCACTCAGTGGCTGGAGCCCCAAGGAGGCTGGACCACCCCCTGGGCTGAAGCCCCTAAGGCTAGAGCCTCTCCCTCAGAGGCTGGAGCCCCCAGAGATAGGCCTGCTCAATGGGCCCTGAGCCACGATGTTCTGTGGCTCACTCTTTTTCAGGTGGCTATAGAAATCCTGACTGTGATAGTTTGTTGCTGTGTCTGTAGACTGCTCTCAGGACAAAACAGGCTGTTTTTGAATAGTAGTCTACACATCTGGCAAACAAAATTATAAATGTCATCGGCTGAATTTTGTAGAGTGGACTTGCCAAGATGTTCATAAGCAGACTTTTCCTTAAAGCTAGTGAGACAGTTCATGAGGCAAATTCTTTTCTTCCTGAGTTGCTTGCTTTTGTGTTTTTGCATAAGCCAGCCCAGATTTTTATGCTCTTGTCATATACTTCCCCACTGATAGACATCTTTTGATCTGAGTATTATTTCACTGTTTTATTATCAGTCACCAGCTTTAGGTAAGTCACTTTGTACTTGAACTGTTTTGCTTACAACTATTACTAGAGTTTATTTACTGAGTTCAGAGATGATAGCTGGTGTCAATAAACAACCTCTGGTGGGGTGGTGCCATTGCTGGGTTTCTACAAATTGGATTTCTGAGTGTCAGTCACTGAAGCATATTCCCAAGGGGGCTGGTCAAAGTAATAATACGTGCAGTAAAGTCACACTGCATGTATTTGGTTTTTCATGGTGTAGTATAAGGTTTTTATTTTTATTTCTTTTTTTGGGGGTTCCTAAAATATAGATGTAAAAGCCGTCAGTTGGATACTAGAGATGGAATTCACCTCAAATGCTATGGTTTTCCCTAAAAATACTGCAAGAAATATATGGCATGTTTAAAACATATAGTTTACACAAACTGGTGTCCGGTATAGACAATATGCTGCAATTCAGGGTTTTAAACTCTCTTTTTAGATTAGGTTTGGAGAGGGCCTTTGCTCTCCTGGACCCTGGGCAGACCCATCTTTTACCTAATGATAGAGTCACCTCTATCACTGTGCCTGGGGTTTCCAATCAAATAGACTCTAGAGTAGGGTGTGTTCCTATCTTTTCAGATCCCTTGTTAGGGGAAAATTACAAATAAAATTTGTAATTACAAAATTACAAATATAATTTGTTACTACACCAAAACCATAGATCCTTAGGCAGATTTTTTCTCGTGTGTGGGGCTCTTCAAAGACAAATATTGGCCACTGTTGTCCACAAATTTGAGGAAGAGGGACTCTCTTATAAAGCTCTTAGGCGGTTCAACTTTGCAACATAGTAGATGGTTTCTTCCATAAATTTAAGTGAGAGTTGTGTAAGGCACACAACAGTTAGAGAATTAAATGTGGTGCAATTGCATAAATGTTGTGACAGATTTACAAAGATGTTTAAGATGCAGCACTGACCCTTAAGGCATAAAGAGATAAGACAGTAATAGTTACTAGTGATAATTGAATACTTTCTAATTAATTGAATACTTTCTAATTTCTAATGACCTCATGTCATGTGAGATATTAAAACCAGTTGCTGTCAAGTTGATTCTGACTCATGGTGATTCCATAGGTGTCAGCGTGGAACTGTTCCACAGGGTTTTCAATGGCTGATTTTTCAGAAGGAGATCACCAGGCCTTTCTTCTGAGGTGACTCTGAGTGGACATGAACCTCCAACCTTTCAGTTAGCAGCCTAGTGTGTTAATGGTTTATACCACCCAGGGACTCCATATGTGAGGTATTATGTCCATTTTACAAATGAATAAATATCCTGAGGTTATGCAGATTAAAAGGCTATTCAAGGTGATACAGAAAATTGTATCTGAATTCAAACCCAGATTTGCCTAACTCTAAACCTACACTATACTGTCCTCCACAAATGACAATAAAACAAGGAGGAATGAAGTCATAACTATGAGAAAGGAACTCCAAAATCTGGAGTTCAAACAGAGACTCCTTTTAAATAAGAGGAAGAAGAAAGTGGGTAGAAGTGATTTTTGTGGGGCTTAGAGATCAGGAAGAGAGGTTGAAGAAGGGGGTAGGCTTATAAGGAAATAAGGAAGCCAAGGACTGGAGGAGGAAAACAAGGAAAATCCACCAGCCATTCCTCGGAAGGAAGATGGGGCAATCTACTTCCGTAGTGATACTGCCTCGGAAACCCAAGGAGGGGTCGTTATGAGTCAGGTCTGACTCGACGGCACATAACAACAACAACAAGAACATTCCTATTTCTTTAGGGGAGCTGTATTTCCTGGCCACCTCTTACCCAAGTGCCTACGCGCCACATGGATCTATTTACAAATTTGTCGACCCCTCAAGGTAAGAGTTGGTCTCATTTTCTTTGCAGGTATACCTTTACCAGTGCTTATCTCCATGGCAGGTGACACACAAAGGCCCCAGTTCCTAAGAATTTATCAATGAAGTTAATCCATGCTTCAGATGAAAAACAGTTTGGGCAAGCATATGAAGCATATACAGAACAATGTGTCCATAAGAATTATGGAATATTTGGGATATGGTCTCTTTACGGTTGGAAATGAGTGTCTTGAGCTTTTCCAGGCTGATGAGTCTAGGTCTGTGGTTCCTGGGTGTTTTTTTTTTTTTTTTTTTTCATATGCTTTTGGAAACTTCTGTATGGGACCATCCAACATTTAATCTGACCACATAGGTAAGGATTGCTGCCCTATCTCCTGGGTTTGGTGGAGGTCTTATAGTCTTTGGCAAATATCTCAAACTGTCGGTTATCTTGGCATCTTCACCTGGCCCTTTCTGGAATATTGCAGCCGTATTTATCCACTTGGTGGGCTCTCTGTTGTTTACTTCTGCTTCTTTGTCTGCCTTTCTCAGTGGCTAGCACCCTCCAACTAATCAGACAAAAGCCACAATGCAACTTCCCACTCGGGTTGTTGAGTTTGTGCTCAGCTTATGTGCCCCTCGAAAGGTGATGGAATGTATAATCCATCTTTGGGCAGTGTACTGGATTTATCTCAGAATTCTTGCCTCAACAGCAAAGTCTCCCGGTGAACCAGCTTGCAGATGAACCTGCAGAGGAAAACTTCCCCTTGAGGCTTATGTTACTCACATCTACTGGGCTGATGTTCAGTATACAATAGGCAAACAGGTCCAGCCACTTGTCAGGGCTCAGGGGCCAGGCTCAGCTCATTTGGCAACAAGGCTCTCTGTTACATGTTCTTAGAAGTTCCTAAGGGGGCTCTGGTAGCATAGTGCCTAAGGCACTTGACTGCTAATCCACCAGCCACTCCTGGGAAAGAAGGTTGGGCAATCTACTTCCCTAGTGATATAGCCTCAGAAACCCAAGGTAGGGTTGCTGTGAGTCGGTCCGACTGAGGGCACATAACAACAACAACAGAAGTTCCTAAAAGAGGCTCAACTTCCAATTGAGGCTACCTAAGGCTGTGCCTGGGGCATTCTGGTGGTAGCTGAGTACGCAGATTGCCAAGGAGTGAATTTGACACTGGGCTGTCTATGTCTTGTACTAGATCTGCTCCTGGAGTAGCCCCTTGTGTGTAGGGGATTGAGAGGACTCGGGGTCTTATAAAGCTCTTTCAGGATTTGAAAATGCCTACTCTAGGAGTTCTCCTGCTCTTTCCTCTTACAGGTTTCCTGTGTGAATCCATTTTTCTCTCCTTTGACAGTTTCCTGTTTGATTGGGAGATAATTGAACTCTCTTCAATCACCAGTGCAGACATGAACAGCCATATATAAAGCACCTCTAATGCCTTTCTCATACTGAAGATATCCTTACTTCTTCTTTTTCTCAAGTTGATAGTTTTTAATTACTGTGGACCAGGCGTGGTGTTAAGTACTCTACCTGGAGGACCTCATTTAATGCTGACAAAATCCCAAGAAGGTGGGTTCAAACCAAACCAAACCAAACTCACTGCCATAGAGTCAAACCCGACTCATAGCAAACCCTTGGGTTTCTGAGGCCGTATCTCTACAGAAGTAGACCCAACCTTCCTTCTGAGGAGATGCTGGTGGGTTCCACCAGCCTTCTGGTTAGCAGCCAAATGCAGCACTACGTCACCAGAGATCCCACAGAAGGTGGGTTAACACCTTCAATTTACTGTAAAGAAACTGAGGGCTAGACAAGTTAAATTACTTAGCAAAGTACAGCCAATAAGAAGAGGACCTACAATAGGAACTTGGCTTTCTTTGTGGATCAAAGTCATTTCAGCCCTACAGCCACTCAGTTCAGTTTTAATTACATTGAAATATACAGGCTATTATTTCCCCCACCCCACCCTAGTTCTATAGTGGAGGAAGATGAGTCAATCTACTTCTGGGAAGATTTACAGCCTTAGAAACCCAGTGGGGGTCGCTATATGTTGGAATCAACTGGCAGTAGATTAGCGCCTAAGGTATTTAACTGCTGACCAGAAGGCTGATGGGTTTACCCACCAGCCACTCCTCCGAAAGAAGGTTGGGCAATCTACTTCCATAAAGATACTGCCTTGGAAACCCAAGGAGGGGTCGCTATGAGTAGGGACCCACTCGATGGCAGTGAGTTTGGCTTTTTTTTTTTTTGGTTTTACCACATCCCCACAGATAACTGAGGGCTAAGCCCAAATCTTGGTAATGTATACCTTCTGTTCTGTTCTCACCCTTTCTGTCTGTGTTTCAGGCGAGCACCCCCAGGCAAGTGCAAATACAAGCCAGTGCCAGTGAAAACCAGGAGTAAGCGGATCCAGTTCAGGCCGATTGCCAGTGAGTCTGCCTTTAAGTCTAAGGATGCAGGCCTTGGCGTCAAGGCACCAGCACAGTCTACAAACTCTCCCAGGGTGGAGGATCTCAGTTTCTCCTTTAGGGGTTCTCTTTTGGACAAGGACTGTTCTTGTGGCTCAGTCTACACAATTCCCCAGAGTGAGTGGGAGCAATACCTGCTTCTACTGTGACCTGTCCTCCTGCACTCATTCATTCATCATTTAATTATTCATGTATTTATTCATTCATTTAGCATCATTCATTTAATACTTATTCAGTGGCAGGTACCCAAACCCACTGCCATGGAGTCAATTCTGACTCCTAGTGACCCTATAGAACTACCCCATCGTGGGTTTCCAAGGCTGCAAATCTTTGCAGAAACAGATTGCCTCATCTTTCTTCTATAGAGTGGCTGGTGGGTTCAAGCCATCGACCAAAAGGTTGGCAGTTCAAACCCACCAGCTGCTCTGCAGGAGAAAGATGAGGTAGTCTGCTTCCGTAATGATTTGCAGTCTTGGAAACCCTATAGGGCAGTTCTACTCTGTCCTATACAGTCACGATTGGTCTAAATCAACTGAATGGCAGTGGGTCTGGGATTTTAGGAGGCAAGGGCTATGAACGTGAGAAGTGTCTGACTTGATGGAGTTCAGAGTCAAATGGCAGGGTGGGGAGTACAGGCAAACAAAGAAGTAAATCCAGCACTGAGGTTCTGCTATGGAAGGATGGGTGTGCAGGGGTCTGGGAGGGCCTGGAGAATGATGAATTATTTCGACAAGTAGAGTGGGGAGTCAGGGAATGCTTATAGAGAAGAGGTGCTACCTTAAGAGAACTGTTCCAGAGCCACTTACAACTGGAGTGACCCTAGTACGGAAAAAAAAAAAAAGTAACCAAAGAACATAACATATATATACATCAGTTAAGGATTTAAAAATATTAATTTAAAAAGAATTCCTATCAAAGAACCTCTATAAAGGAGGTCTGGTGGCTCAGCACCTAAGGGATTTAACTGCTAACCAGAAGGTTAGCGGTTCAAACCCACCAGACACTCTGAGGAAGGAAGATGGAACAATCTACTTGCGTGAAGGTTTACTGCCTCAGAAGCCCAAGGGGGTCACCATGAGTTGGAATCCACTGGATGGCAGTGGGTTTGGTGTTTGGATGCAGTCATAGGTTTCCTGGGTGGTGTTTCTATTACAGCTATTTTTCCAGGACTTATATTTCTCATTAACTTAATGCTTATTTCCCAGAGACTGTCTTGAACTTGCTAAAGGAGCAAGCAGAGAAAGCTGCCAATGCAGCCTCCGCTTCCAGTCCTGACCGGGTCTTGTCCCAGAAAGGCTCTTCCAAGAAGCCGGCTTCTCGAACCCCAAGCAGCAGGAAAATGCTGCGAAGGCCTGGCACAAAGAAGAAAGCCAGAATGTGGTCCCCAGGCCCCCAGGGGAAGAGGAAGAAGGGCCGGAAAACCCACCGTGGCAGGGTGGCCGCATCAGCACAGCGACGGCGAGCTGGCAGGAGTCTCCCTTGATCTTTTCTGCTCAGATGGCTGACCCAGGCCCAGGAACCAGCAGAACTATCTTAGCATGCGGAAGCTGTTGCTGAACGCTTAACTTAGAAATATGGTTAGTGGCGGTGAGGCAGAGAGAGCTAATCCCGGCTGGTGTGAGAATGAGTGGAAGCTCCTGGTCTGTGTGGGTGTATCTGAGGCTCGACCAAGTCCCACGTTCCGGGGGTCTAATATTCTGTAAACCTGCCTGGAATCCTCCTTGATGTCTATGTTTTGTTTTTAAAATTCTTACCGCCTAAGACAATAAAATCTACATTTGCTCATGCTGATATATTTCATCTCCTGGATGTTTTACTGTTATTAGGAAATCTGGCATGCCTCAGGTTTGACTAAGAACCATACTCATGTTCATACATCCTTCCAGGTCTGGGAAGCCCATTGGTGACAGACTTGTAAGGCAAGTCCCTCTAAAAGGGTCTTTTCTTTGCCCCAGTCTGAAGCTCATGGACTGAATAAGGGTAGGTTCACTTCTATACCTCTACATAACTACACTTTATGTGAGTACCTATCATATACCAGAGCTCTGGTGGTACAGTGGTTAAGTGCTTGACTTCTAACTGAAAGATTGTGGTTTGAACCCACCAGCTGCTCCGAGGCAGAAAGATGAGGCAGTCTGCTTCTGTAAAGATTTACAGCCTTGGAAATCCTCTGAGGCAGTTCTACACTCTCCTATAGGGTCACTGTGAGTCACAGTAGACTCAAAAGATACGGGTTTTTGGTTTTTTTCATCAGGAGTGTGCCAGGAGTCCTTGGGTGGTAGAGATGGTTAACATGCTTGGCTGCTAACCTAATAGTTGGTGGTTCAAGTCCACCCAGAGGCAACTTGGAAGCAAGTCCTGGCAAACTACTCTAGAAAAATCAGCCACTGAAAACCCTGTGGATTCCGCTCTGACGTACATGGCGTACCCTAAGTCAGAGTCAACACCATGGCAACTGGGAGTGGTGGTTTCTTATCTAACCTAAACCCACCAGGCTTCTCTTTTGTTCTTTTTTTGTGTTCTGCCTTTATGAAAGATGCAAAACACTGGTCACTTTCTGAAGATAACCTTTAGATCATCTTTGTCTTTTTCCTTTTCTCATATTTTTTTCCATTTTACCCACACTGACCTTTGTAGCTTTATGAACACTCTAGGGCTAGAAATAAACTTCAGGTTTCTGACCAATGCTGATATTTTAGACCTTTAGGTCCTTCCCAGTTAAAGACATCAAGATAAAGGTGGAAGAGATTAAACCTGAGATCATTTTGTTGAAAGATGGCTGAAAATCTAGTGTCAGTTCAGAGAGATTGGTTCTAAACTTTAGATGAAATATCTGAGCTCTTTTTGCCTCATGTTCCCTCTTCGGTATTTGTCTTACTTATCTAAACTAGTTTGCTGTAATACTTCGAGTGGATGGCCTTAATGAACAGAAATTTATTTTCTCACCATTTAGGAAGCTAGAAGTCCAAATTCAGCGTGTCTGCTCTAGGGAAGGCTTTCTCAGTTAGCTCTGGGGGAAGACCCTTGTGTCTTTTCAGTTTTTGTTCCCCGGTCCTCTGGTGATCTTCATGTGGCCTGGTATCTATTTTCCCTCATTTCTGTTTCCTTGATTGATCTGCTTTTATATCTCAAAAGAAATAGATTTAAGACACACCCTACACTAATACTACCTCATTACCATAAAAAAGAAACCCCATTCCCAAATGGGATTATAACCACAGGTATAAACCAAAAACCAAACTCACTGCCATCGTGTCAAATCCAACTCATAGCGAACCCTCCTTGGGTTTCCGAGTCAGTATCTTTACGGAAGTAGGTTGCCCAGTCTTCCTTTGGAGGAAGGTTGGTGGGTTTGAACTGCCAGCCCTCTGGTTAGCAGTCAAATGCCTTAGGCACTACGCGACCAGAGCTCCTGCTACAGGTATACAGATTAGAATTTAACACAAATATTTTTGGGGATGTTATTCAATCCTTGAAGAATGTGGTTCAAAGAATAGGGTCAGGCCTGGTAGTCTTTTGAGTGCTGGGGGGAAAGGTACTCAGAAATCAAGCATCAAGTAAAGGACCTCAACCAAATTCAAGGTATTCTGAGAACAGGTGAGAGGACAATGGATCTAGAGAAAGGAACTGAATGGTATCCCTGAAATGCTGGGAAGCTGGGGGAGAGGCAGAGTATTTCTCCCTGGCAAAGCCCACTATTGTGACTTATAGTGACCCCCATCAGGTTTGCAAGGCTGTAAATCTTTATGGAAGTAGATTGCCTTATCTTCTTCCTGCAGAGCAGCTGGTGGATTTGAACCGCCAACCTTTTGGTTGGTTAGCAGCTGAATGCCTTACCCACTATGCTGCCAGAGCTCCTTTTCTCTCTCTGGCAAAGGGGCTGGAAAGTGGCTAGTAATGCGAATGCGCTTTCATGGAGGGGCCAGGATCATTACAAAATACTTGCTAGGCCATAGCAAAGCCAACATGTATTGCATTTCCTTAGAGCCTTGAATGTTGAAAAGTTCAGAAAGTTGAAAAATACACATATGCTTCCTTTTTTTAGAGACAAATTGGAGGAGGGGAAATTTTCGGGCAGGAAGGACAAGGACTGGTAATGCTGGAGGCAATGAGACTCCCCCCCCCCCCCACTGCCAATAGTCACCCTACAGATGAGACTAGAGGAAAGGCATCTTTTTCTTACTCTTTTTTTTTTTTTTTTTAATTGTGATTTGGGTGAAAATTTACAGAGCAAATTAATTTTCCATTCAACAGTTCATACACATTTTGTTTTGTGATATTGATTGCAATCCCTGTGATGTAACAGCTCTCTTCCCATTTCCTCCATGTGGTTACTTTTTCCCTGTGTCCTTCTTTCCTATGCATTCCTGCCCTCTGAGCTTTCCCCCTATGCAAATGCTGCCCTTCTGATCATGGTTAACCATCATGCCCATGGTTAATTGTTCTAAGGAGTGTATCTACCCAGTATAATTGTTCACCTTGTAGGCCTGTCTGTTGTTTGGCTATAAGTTAAGCCATGGTTGTGAGTTCAATTCCAGGCCTGAAGGGTGACCAGGGCCATAGTCTTAGGGGTGTCACCAGTATCTACCAGACCAGTAAGCCTGATCTTTTTCATGATTTTGAGTTTTGTTCCACATTTTTCTCCCACTCTATCTGTTGCTGTTGTTGTTAGATGCTGTCGGGTTGGACCCGACTAATAGTGACCCCTTCTTGAGTTTCTGAGGTGGTAGCTGGTGGGTTTGAACCACCAGCCTTCTGGTTAGCAGTCAAGTGCCTTAGGCACTACGTTACCAGAGCTCCCCTACTCTATCTAGGATCTCCAATTTTGATCCCTTAGCGAGTGGTTGGCACTGGTAGCCAGGTACCATCTAGTTCTATTGGTCTCAGGATCATGTAAGCTGAGGTTCACATGGTCCATTAGTCCCTTGGACTAATTGTTTCCATGTGTCTTTGATTTTCTTTACAAGATCTTCTTCACTCTGACTGAGAGACCAATTGTTGCATCTTAGATGGGGGAAACCTTTTAAGTCCCCAGTCACACTCACCAGAGTAGGATATAGAACAGTGTTCTTATGTACTGTGTTATGCCAGTGGAGCTTGATATCCCCTGTTAACATGGTCCTGAGCCCGCTGGCCCAGAGACTCACTCCCTTGAGGTCTTTGGCTGTGGCTAAGAAGTTATCGTAACTTTGCCTCATGTTTGTGTTTATGTATATTTATATATGGGCGTTCTTACAGCACATACAAATACATATGTAGGAATATTGTCTGCCAGACTTATATATGATCATTGGTACATTCACTTTTGTCTGCCCGTACATGATCATTTAGCCTGTCTACCTCTGTATCCACCTGTAGATTAATGTTTGTTATTACTGATAATGCATTATTGTGTATGTAAAAGTATTTACCTTTGTTGTCATTAACTCTCCTTACTTGACGACCAAGTAACCCAGTGTCTTAGTTTCCTGGTGCTGCTCTAACACAAATACCGCTTTAAAGAACAGAAATGTATTGTTTCACAGTTCTGGAGGCTAGAAGTCAAAATCACGGTCCTGGCCATGTCAGTTTTTTCCTTGTTGGTAGCCCCTGGATGATCCTCACGTGGCATCATGTGTTCTCAGCGTGTGTCTCTGCGTTTATTCTGGTCTTTCCGTAACTCAGAGGTAATTAGGTTTAGTATCTGTCCTACAGTGGCATGACCTCATTAGCACAATGAAAGAAAATCCCTATTTCTAAACGGGACCGCATCCACAAGTACAATGACCAGGAAATAAATATATAAATAATTTTTGGATGGGGGGAGAACACGAATTCATAACAGCTAGAGTAAGTAGTCTTGATGTGAAGGTATTCTAGTGCATTTGAGGATCTGCAATGACTTTGCTAAAAGGCATTCAGTGCTAGTGAAGGTGCTGACCTTACATGATAATTTTGAGTATTTTTCTTGCAGTAGTGGGGCCTCTTTCCTCTAGGCACTATGAACATTGCACCTCCACAGCATTCCTAGGTGCAGACAGCCCGACCTTAGAAAGGCAAAATGACCAACTAAAGTTGGTGTTTTTTTCCCATAGTTAAATCTCTCAAGCCAAGATAGAAAAGTCTTACAGTCGCATCACTCTGAAAGCTAACTCAATTTAAGAAATACATTACTTTGCTTTTTGTGGAATCCAAGATTGCGTTGGGGAGATATTTCATTTCAGTGGATGCCATGCTTACTGCTTGTCAGGCACAGTCCTGGCTCTGAGGAGACACAACAATGAGAGAGACTGTCTTTGTCTACCACCGCTGACCTCATGTGAGCACAGGTCAAGAATTAACTTGAAATCAAGGTAACAGGACTCTGGCTTCGTAAACCCGCACCATCTCACAGAAACATAATGAGAACCGCAAATGCAAAACCACATGTAATTTTAAAATTTCCAGTAGCCACATTAAAAAGGAAAACAAACAGGTATATATGATTATAATTATGTATTTTATTTAATCCACTATATTAAAAATAT